CACACGTTATGCCAGCCACGCACCACTTCCGGAGGTGGGCGGTCCTGGATTGACCAGGCGGCCCTGGATTGAAACCGAACGCCCCGGGGCCTTAACGGGGTTTTTCAAGGTGGGAAGTTGCTGCAATGTGTGCAGCTACCCACATACAACCTCCAGGCACGGGAATTACTTCTCTAGCGTGCCTGAGCCCGACCTTTGCCTTTAAGCAGAATGGATAGCGGACCCCAGTGAAATGTCGAGATTACGCAGCTGCTGCATAAAGGTGGTATTGGGTAAAGAGACTACGTTCGGGCTCACAGTGATTGAAGACACGAAGACATTGCCACGCTTGTTTGCGCAAACTTGAGTCATCTTCGGTATCGATCTAATAGGTTTACGCCGTCTACGCGAAAAATAACTGGCTGCAAGGCTTTCTCAATTTCGCCCATGTTTTCTGCAAAACGGCCCACCCCCTCTAATTTCATGGAAACAGTTCGTTCGCCTTACGCCCTGGGACTATCTCGTCTCTTCACGAGAATCCATCACCATCTGATCCATCGATGCTCACCAGCGTTGTGCGTTTTGACTTATACTCTCACGTTTTTCCGGCGAGACTCCTCTCCGCTAGATTCATCAAGAGCCTTTCCCCACGCAGGTTCAACGAACAGCCTAGTACCCGGCGTCGCTTGCCGATCATTGAGCTCATGCGATTCGACGCGCTACTCCCTTCCGCAAATCTTCGCGGATGGTCATCGACGAACTTTTCCGAAGCTGGTCTAACTTTCCAATCCCTCATCAGGTCGTTAACAAGGGAATATGTTAAAGTTGTACTCAAAGTGAAAGGCTTCTTCATTAACGGTCCTGTTTTGTTTTGTTTGTCGCCGACTACCCTTTATCATTTTGAACCAGTTTGCCACCAACATCAGCAGGCGACGTTTTGACAGTCTCCATGAAGGGCGTACGGGTATTCTCAGTGGAGTCTACGCACGCACTAAGGGACCAGTCGAAAGCGTCAAAGGAAGCACGTGTTCCCAAGGCCTGTCAAAAGCACTCGACACGTGCTTCCCAAAGTCCTTTCAAGTGCGAGGATTCGTTGGCTCGCCACGAAGATGTCACGAAGTTGTCAAAGGCTTACGCGTCGCGTTCGAGGCGCTCTTAAAGCTGTACCTGTCTCGCCTGAAATCTTGCGACTTCTCCCTTCATAAGGAAGAACAGGACAAATTTGTTTTGGCACATGCTCGACGCAAGAGTTGTGCGATTCGTTTTGTGAGTTCCCATTTCTAAGGTCGCTCAGCGAGGGCTTAATGTGCTGGTCCGCGATTTCCTGCCACCTCTTCCAGACGGAGGCATGCTCTCCCTTCGAGTATTTAGTCTCTCCCACAATGGAAAGAATGAATTATGGTTTGCGCGAGCACGCTTAGTGGCTGTCACACCAACCCTTCAGCGGCTCGACGACGTATGGCTCAACTCTTCAACGCTGCCTGCTCGGCCGTCGCCGCCATTAATTGCCTCAACAACGACAAGCGCACCCACATGCGTACCGCCACTATTCCCGGCCTAGCGGCCTTCCCTCTTCAGCTCAACTTCACCATTGCCAATATGTCTTCTAAATGTGGATCGGTCAGCCAGCGACCCTTCCACCTGTGAGTCGGGGCCCGCACTCTTATTCGTGCGACCATTCAAAAATACGAGCATTCCTACGAAGATCACTCAATGTTCATCCAACTCTCCGTCCCCATACATGCTCTTCGGTTCACTCTTCGTACAGTCGAGCAGTTTTGCGACGACTCAAGATTGGCACCATCGCCGTTCCGATCCGCGTGAGACTAGATTTTCCGCCAACCGGTGCCGACCCTTTGTGCCAACTTATCGACAAATATTCGGACGATTCCGTGAAGATTTTCGCGTGAGTGCGAACTTGACGCTGTCTACAGCGTGAATAAGCCTCATTGGGCCTGCCGGTCTTCAACAAAAGCATGTCATGGCCTCCGTTGGAAGTCGGTCATTTGAGCTTCGGCCGCTGCACTTCGAATAGGAGATCCCCGTCTTCCAATCCTAGTGATAGAGGCTGCCTTTGGTACGAGTAAGCCTCTAGTTGGCGCTCTCATTGCTGCCCGAACGTACTGCTTTTCAGAGGAGCTACTAATCGCCACTACCACGACGAACACAACGTGTAGTTGATAAACGAATGGGCAGGATCTTTAAGTGTGTTAGATGATCGCCCAGTTCACTGACACGCTGCTCCGCCTTGACGACTTCAAGATTCTCGACATCCTGCGTTACATCTCAGATGCGGCATTAATTGAAGGTGCCCGCATACACCGATCAATTTCTACACGATACTCAAACGCTTCCCACAGGATTATTAGCACTTCATCTCCGGGGAAACCCTTGGTATCTGTCTCTGCTACAAGCGCGGACGTGACTATTGGAGCGCTGCGTGTTTCAGCACATTTTGACGATCGAACTTTCAGGCGCGCAACGCGAATACTGCGGGGCCGAGCCCGACATGTCGGACTTGACTCGCGAAGCAGTTGCCATCATGTTCTCCATACGCCCCCGGCTGTCTTGCACTTCAGCTACCTTCGCCTTGCTGAACTCCATCTCCACCGATGGTATATTCTGTGACGGGGTTAACACCTTTTATCATCGGGGATGAAGCCTCGCGAATTCTGGAATCTGCTCTCGTAGCCCTGGCGGCCCACCCTCTCACCTCGTCATGTCTACATCGGTCATGGCATTAACCAGTTGATGTCTCACGCTAGTTGTTCGCGTATTTAGAACGCAGCCCGTCTCGGCGCCCAAGGAGTAAAGGACATTCTACACGACTTACCACGACTTTCGCACCCACCCTTTGCTGAAGGAGCTTACCAACTTGTTCTTTCACAACAAAACGCTCGTGAGCGGTACTCCCGCCGGAGATCGCCGACTGTTCCTGGAAAGGATACGCTGCCCCAACCCTTGCTCCCCTTCCTGTTCGCCAACGTTCCGGGTTCCTTCACCAAACCCCTCAGCGGCTCTCACAGTAGTGAGAGTTGCCCTTTTTCCTGCCCAATAAAGGTATACAGCCATCTTCTATCGCGATCATTGTGTGCTACAAGGATCACGTTCGTGCACTAAAACACTTCGCCAAAAACTCTGCGATCGACTTCTGCACAATGAATTCCGTACTAGGACGTGAAAAGTATGTCGTCATCCTCCTCACTACTAGGACGGGATTTGATGCTGAGTAGGGCGATTTCTTGAACGTCGTTCGACCCCATCGCTTAGACGTCGCACTCTCGCGTTGTCGCCACCGCCAATTTGTTTTTGATCGCGAACAATCTCTGGTTCTTGTCCTACTGGAAGGCCATCCTGCGATGAGCTTCCTATCTCAACGCCGCTACTACCACAACGATTCTACCCGATCTCCTCGGATAGAAGGTTTACTTTCAATTTTCACTCTATCCAGGTCGGTCTTTTGCCTTCCTTCACTCCAAACATATCTTAATTCCGAAAGCGGACTTTTCTGTAATGCGGGGAGGTAAGAGATTGAGGTATGATTGTAATCTTAGAGGAAGAACCGCATCGGGGGAGTGTATGCGCCACATGGAGTGACTTGGCTGCCGAGAAAGTGAACTGTGGCGCTACGTCCCAAACGCGTTACGCCTACTAGTTTGGTGACTTGGGCAAGCTGTTTGCTGTTGGCTTTTCATTTTGGAAGATCATTTCCCTTCTAGCGGCTGTATCTTCCAACTTGCCCATGTAATGCCTTATCAATCAAAACACTATGCTTGTTGGCATGATGGCATCGGGGTTAACACGTCCGAACATCTTTTCTTTGTCGCAGCTCATAAATGGTCGAAATGTACGGGCAATTGAGTGGCTACTATTATACTTTGCGTATTCTCGACGGATTCCTCTGCTTTTTTCGCCATTGGCATCGAGCGCCCCACATCCCCTATAAACTCCTCTATTAACTATTGTAGTTGCTGCCTTTAATTGGAAATTACTCAGGAGAATCAAATGGATAGAAGGAAGTGTTTCAATCTAATTTATTCTCCCTTTGAAAGAAGTCATCATTCGGCGGTGGCCAACTGACCAATAACATCAGCTCAGGGTGAATGACGGCGCGCAGTAGCACTGACATATCTTATGCTACGTATTTGAGGCTGCCATTCGATCGTCAATGGTGGATACTCCATCGATCGCTCTCTGAGCCAACGCCTTCTCAACCCGGACTTCCTCGCTTGTCGCCTCTGGGCCCACCATCTTCCCGCCACGCCACCCTCCATATCCATAGTCGGACGCTGCTTCACCGCTGAATATGGATCGATCCCACCTCGTAAATATTCCTAATAAAAATAATCGTCGTATGGGACTCATCCATGTGTTTGCTGAGGACACTTGTACAGGAAACTTGCTTATTTACTTCGCGCATCTGTTACTGATGTTTCGCAAAAGAATTATTTGCAGGAATGTGTGAGTGAATTTCGAAAGGAAACGACACTGATTTTTATCGGTAATTTTTTGTACAAGTTTTAGCACTTTTTAGTTGGATTTAGAAGTTTGCCATACTGGCTTTAGTTTCCCGAAATGATGGGTTCAGTTAGTCAGAGAGTCGGAGAGTCCCAATGCCAGGGTGTCGTTTAAGAAAGAGGTCTTTTGGGAGATCAGATGTGATGTGATCGTGATCGGTTAGTGATCGCGCGAGAATCAGAGTTGTTTATGAAGAGAAGGCGGGAAGTGTGATTTAGAAGGTACAGTGAGAGAAGACCAGCAATCTTTTATTCGTTTCGGACCGTCCCGCCCACCAGGACTCGTCGGACTCCTAATCTATAGGCTACCGCTCCAAACCATTTACGCCTGAGTGGCATCGAAGCGAGCCTGCGTGGCTGAGACCCAGAATCTGTGTGAGTCCAACACCCAGGATCCCGCAGCCCAACTTCTCTCGTCCACGACATCTCCCACGCCCACTGCGAATCGCTGCGACTTTCTATCGGCTCATTTCAAATGACGATTCTATTCTAATTTGATTCCGTTCATTCGCATTAAATTTATTCTGTTGAAAACTAAGAAATTCTTTTGTTTCTTCCGTGGTGATCCTTGTAACTTAACGCTACTCCACCGGAATGAGATAAGCTTTCCTCTCGGTTTTAGATAGGGGCCGAAAGGATAGTCAGATCCTAGCCCGGTGCAGTTCACGGTTGCAAGGATTTGTTCTGATGCACTTATCGACTACTGATTCCGGATCCAAGCAAGAAAACCCGAAAATTTTCTCAGATGCGGCAACCGATAGTTGATGGATTGCCGATCGTGAAGGAGAGCTCTGCCCATTGATCGCTTGAAGAAAAGGGCGCCTTTCCCGAGTATCGACCGATTTTTTCGATTATTTCGTTGGTTGTGCCGATATTGCACATGTTTTCCGCGACGAGTTTTGTGATAGAGGAAAAATTGGTTGATAATTCTGTTTCCAGAATGAAGGATGAGGGCGATGGCAGGATCTCACTGATGGAAAATGAACTGTTAATTCATAATTACCACCTCATGTGGTAGTATTTATGAATTATGTGAGAATGGAGAGCAGGAGTGAGAGGAGATAGCCTGGGTGCTCAGGGAAAGGCATCGAAAGATAACAGCTGTAACCTGGAGTTCAAAGGCCTGGAAGCAAGCCGTATCGGATTTAGAAGCAGAATGAGTCAAAATGGAAGAGGAACTAGGCAGACACACCCCGAGCTGATCACTTCGTTCTTCCAAGATTAGGGTGATTTCCTTGGACAAGGAGAGGCTGAAAGGGATATTGTAGCTGACTTACTCCGTTTGCACCGACTGGATAGAATTCACCTGTACGACAACAGCAATATCGAAACATGAAGCAGTTGAAAACAACTGTGTTACCGCTTTTCACAGAGTTTTTGTGCAGCTCAAACAGGACCTCTTAAATGACCCCCGGTGGCAGCGTTTCTCATGGAAAAGGACGGGCCCGAAGGTCTCATTACCAAAGCGGTTACCTCATATTTGTTTATTGACGACATGGACTCTATAACGGCTGAGAATTTCGAAAAGTAGACAGCAATGGAAAAACTGTTGGGGTTAGATGCAACCCGGAATTTCGGAGGTGATAATCAGGTCGTTGCCATGGCGAGCAGTTTTCGTCAAAAGGGGAAGTTTCTATCGAGGTAGGTTCGCAGGTAGGTTCGCCAGAAGAAGTACGTATAGTTTCACTGTATTTATTCAGGAGTGGCTCCCGCGAAGTTGTTGTATAGTGTGATCTCAGAGAAAGCTTGTAAATTCAATTTCCCCGAATTCCCCCCCCCCCCAATTTCTCCCGCCGAAGGTACTAAGTGGTGTGGGGGGAGCATGCTAGGCAGAGGGTCGGAGAGTTCCAGAGCCAGGGTGCCGCTGAAGAAAAAGCGGCACCCTGGCATTGAAAATTTAGTGGGTCAGGTGTGATGCGGTCGTGTCGCGTGGGACTCCAGAGTTGTTTATGAAGAGAAGGCGCGTGAAGTGTGATTTAAAAATTACAGTGAGAGTAGACTAGCATTGGTTTCTCCGTTTCTGATCGTCGCGCCCACCAGAAGTTGTCGGACTCCTGATCTATCAGCTTAACCTTCCTTAAGCTTGCACGCTTGAATGCCATCGCAGCGAGCCTGTGTGCCTCCGAACCCGCCCGTGTGGCTAAGACCCAGAATTTGTGTGATCCCGACACCCGGGAACGAACCAGCAGCCCAACCTTGCGTCCGCAACATATCCTACGCTTACTAGAATCGCTCCGACTTTCTATCGGCTCACCTCACCAGAGGATTCTATTCGTATCTGTCGATTTCTTTATTTATTAAGGTAGTTTCGTTGCGAGTAAATAAATTCGTTTTTTTCTTCTGGTAATCCTTGTAACTGAACTGCACCGGAATCAACTCTTCGACCTTGTAGTTTGAAGGATGTTGCGATTTGTATAGTGTAGGTAAGCGAAAGCTGGCTGAGGAAAAGTCTATGATCGACGCAATCAGCGGGCTCTTTTTGGCGAAATCCACGAAGCCCTCCTGGGACTCATTTCAAGCGTATTAGTTAGTTTAACCAGCATCCTTCCTCCGGGCGTGCGACCTCTCTAAAGCATCCGTCAGCCACGGTTCTTACACTATTATGAAGGGCTCAGATTTGTTCTGAAAAGCGTTCAGAAGATGGGGGTCAAAAAGTGAAAGGTTGTCTCGCTACAGAGCTTAATGGGCGAAGCGTTAGGGTCACAGAGCATTGATGATTTCGGCTCAAGAGGAGCTAGGGCCGAACGGACTCCATTTAGTGGACTCCAACAGAGAGGCATTAATCTGCAGATCAATCTACCGACAATTTTATAACCATGAAGCATACAGTGTTTGCCTTGTCGTATAATGCTAGGCAAATGTTATGTATACATGAAAATTATTTTTTTCCTTAAAGGACGAATTCACGATGAAAAAGCAACCCATTTCAAATTAACCTAGGGATGGTGAGTGGTACACGAAAGAAGGAAGAACCATGAGAAACGGCCCAGAACCCGAGAAATGGTACCCCTTCCTTGCCCGTTGATTCGAGCATTGATGCGACTCTCATCGCTGTGCCCTCTTCAACACTACGCTCTCTCAGCTATCTAATCACTCGCCACGTATTGAACTACGGCGAGTGATCAGATGATCGGTGGGCGGAGATCGCCGGACCCGCCAGCTTTGAGGCATGATAGGTCGCCGAGGTCAAATTTTTCCATGCGAATTGCGCGTCAGTTCGCACCCTCAGGAGGTCCGTGGGTCCCTCAACTAGGTCAGTTTCCCTTTCTTCGACCTTCATTCTAATCGTGAATTCCTCCTTTAACTGTTTGAAAAAATTGATGAGAAGTTCGAGTTAACCATGGCTGAGGCGAAGGCTGGGTTTTCTTCATAAAGGTGTTGAGTGTTTTCTGATTTTCGAAATCGAAAGCTTTTCCAGACTTCGATGGTGTTGATCGCCAAGTGCTGACTGATGTGGGACGTCTTCAGAAGATCTCTTTGGGGAGGCCGCCAACGAAACCACTTGAGGGCGAGTTTATAGTAATGAGACCTCAATGGTCGTAATAACTTCGTAGGATCTTCCTTGGCACAGTAATTCGAACATACTGCCCGTAACAGAGGTTCTTCAGCGGGTCAGCTTTGAACCCTTGGACGAAATCAGAATGTTGCTTCTGCTGGGAGTTCTGGATTCGAAAAGTCCTTAATTTCTTTCCTTTTTTCGGGCATTTCTAGTAGATTGCCATCATTTCAGAGCGTATTGCTGCCCGTTGGTTGATCGCATCGGCATGGGGTTCCTGTGTTCAAATTCTGTCGACATTCCTTGGCATCAAAGGTAAGCCTATAAAATTTCCTGTAACCTATTCCTTACAAAATGAACGATAACGTTGCCCGTTTTTTGTTTCAGATAGGCGAAAAGCTCGCCAGAAAATTCAGGAAGGCATCGAGCATTCTATCAAAGGCATGCAGCTGTTGGCAGCTGTTGCTCTCGAACTCGGTAAGTAAAAAAATCCTAAGCTCGGCAAATTCCTCTCAGGGGCGCCTCCTAACCGCTTTCCAACACTTTGTGTTAGAACTGCTGAAAAGTTCTTGGCCC